TCTAGTCTCTTCTGAGAGCTTGTTAGAAATATACAATCAAGCCAGGCAATATGCAATCCTAGCACTTTGGAAACTGGGGCAGATAAACTGTAAGTTCAAGACCAGCCTCGGCTACATAATACATTTAAGGACAACCTGAACTACATAGAAGAAATTGTCTCAAAAAAGAAAAAGGAAAAAAAAATTAAAAAAGTAAGTCTCAGGCTTTACATGGAAAAACAGAGAATCCAAATCAAACATTTTAACAAGATTCCCAAAGTAATTCATATACTCATCACAATTTGAAAAGCTCTGTAGGAGGGGTATATGAGAGATAAGGTATAATTTCCTGTTCAAAGATTGTCTTCACTGCAGTCCACAGCTGAGCCAATAGAAAGTTAATTTGTAAACTGTATTTTGTGGTATCATTACTCCTATCACAATTTTTTATATTTTGAATAAAAACTCTAGAAAAATAAAAACTTTTCCAGTGTGCCGTGCCAGCTCCACCCCCAGGGACGTGCTGAGACAGTGACGCAGACTGGGCAAGGTGGCGTGTGCCTGTAATCCCAGCTCTTCGGAGGCTGAACACAGGCAGATTACTACAAGTCCGATCTACCCAGTGAGACCCTGTAGACCCTATAGACCCTGTACTAAATACAATTAATTAATTAATTAATTAAAAACTTCATGACTAAAGAATGAGTGTCTAATGATTAAATTTCAAATCCCAAGAAAATCTTGACATTTCTCCTAGTTCAATCTCATGCCCCCAAATCATATTAACAAGACAAATTTTAGTCAGGTGCTATAGAATGACATTTCAGTCAATCTAGGATCAGATATACAATAAAAAGCCCATAAGGTTATATTGCCCAGTGAAACTGTACCCTACTTAATTTGTGTAAGCACACTGCATAATGTTCACTCAGTGAAGAAACTGTTTAATGATGCATTCTCAGAATTATCCCTATGCTTAAGTGGCATATGGCTGTGGTCAAAATAATAGCAATTCTTCCACTTTCCTCCCCCTCTCCCAAGCCCCTTTCAAACTGACAAATGTTATTCAAACTTTAATGTGCATAGGATTACCTGGGATCTGGTTAAAATGCAGAATCTTTCTCAGTAACTAAGCAAAAATAATCTCAAGATGCTGCCTTCTGGCCAGTCTCCCCCAGGAATCAGGCTGTAGCCACTCCTTCCTAGGAACATACTCTAAATATTCATTATGGAATGTACCATTAAGTGGTTAATAAATCCTCTGTCATATATATATTATCAATACCTGGATATATTTTATTTTCATTTGTGATTAAAGAAGGCAAAAATTCTAGTTCCCTAAGTCTCAAACACCACTTCTGAAAATGCTGAGGAAGACTTTTAATCATTTTAACAATAATCCACAACCACTGGACCAACTGAGGAAGACTTTTAAAGGAAAGGTCAGACAAAGTTATCAGTATAAAGTCTAGTAAGACTTTTAATAATTTACATGAATTCTGAATATCATGATAGATGTTGCCACATATAAATAGCATAATTATACTGCCAAATAGATTGACTTTTAAACATGTAAAATTATATCTTGTATTTATAGAACATTATTAAAATATTTTAGCTCCAGTCAGTCCAAGCATGAGTCTAAAAAATAAAAAACAGGAATGCACTACCTTTTTCATTAACAGTGACAAAACACTGGTAAACTACTTTCTGAAAGTGAACAAAACTACAAAAGTTAAAGAGCTGCTTCACCCATAAGAATCATTAAAGTAGATGCTATAGCCAAAAAGATTTGGAGGTTAAATATACCAACACAGAGGCTCCCTAACAGGCAGATTTCCTAACACTTAATATAAAATTATGATCTAAAGCAAGTTTAGGACTTTACCTGAACAGTAAGGGTAAGTGAAGCACTGTACAGTCAGAAATTAAATTCCTATAAAGTAGAATCAGACTTCACAGCAAGCCAGAACAGATGGAATCCAAAAGGAGAGTGTTCTTAGGAAGCAAAGCAACAGTTACAAAGCACAGAGATACAGCATTCCTCACCAAGACTACTTGAAAATTTCCATCAGCTTTTAATTATTCATATTAGTTAAATAAATTATTTGTAGTTATTTTTTCTTGTTAATTAACACCATAAAAACCACCTCCTGGGGAAAAAAAAAAAAAAAAAAACACCTCCTGGGCCAGGCAGATAGCTCAGCAGATTAAAGCACCTGCTTAGACAGAGCACAACAGCTGGATTTAATGCTTGGCTTGCCGTGCCAGCCCTGCCCCCAGGGCACGTTGAGACAGCCATTGAGACTAGGAGTGGTGGCCCATGCCTGTAATCCCAGCACTTGGGAAGCTGAAAACAGGAGAATCACTATGAGTCAGATCTGCGTAGTGAGATCCTGTAGACCCTTAA